GTTGTGGTGTTCAGAAGAACTTCACCAACGGTACTCTACATCGTCTCAGAGTCGGCTAAAATTTTAAAAGGTAAACGTCCATATCCTAAATATAGATTCTTCTACGTTAGGATTTATTTCGATAAAGTTCAATACTGTGCATGTTGTTTGACGTTCCTAACAGAACCCAACACTTCCCTGACTTCACCCCGAGGGAGCACTTAGCCGGGTTTAGCTTCATTCCATACCTCCTCAAAGTCATGAATGTTTCCTTTAAGTCTCTCACATGATTCATCTCCTCCTTGCTTTTCACCAACATATCATCCACATATACCTCCATGTTCCTCCCAAGTTGTTCTTTAAAGATTTTATCGACCAGCCTTTGATACGTGACACCCGTGTTTTTTAAATCGAACGGCATCACCACGTAACAATAGGTTCCCCGACTTGTTACGAAACTCACCCGCTTCTGGTCCTCTCTCGCCAAGGGAATTTGATGGTATCCCTGGGAGGCATCCATTAGGCTCAGCAGTTCGCACCCCGCTGTCGAGTCGACCAGCTGGTCGATTCTGGGTAGTGGATATAAATCCTTTGGGCATGCTTTGTTTAGATCACGGAAATCAATGCATATCCTCCACTTGCCCTCCGCCTTCGACACCATTAACGTATTTGAAAACCACTCGGGGTACTGGATCTCCTTGATATGCCCCGCTGCTAATAGCTTCTCAACCTCCTTCTCAATGATTTTGTCCATCTTTGTCCCATGGTGCCTTCTCTTTTGATTCACCGGCCTCACACTGTCGATGCTCAATCACCGCACTTATCCCAGTCAACTCCTCCGCTGTGTAGGCAAAAATGTCAGCAAACTCCCTAATCAGATCGATTAGCCTCGACCGGATAGGCTCCTCCAGGTCCTTCCCGATTCTGAATTTCCTCTCCTTACATCCCTCGATCATCTGAACCTCCTTAACTTCACTTCCCGGATGGATGGATATCCTGTAACACCCCGACTTTTTACTGAAATCAGAGAACGCGTTTTTCGCAACTTTTCTGAATAAATAATTAAAATATTTATTTTGTGAAAACTGATTCGGAGTGCTACCGTGAAAAACTTGACTTTTCTGAAAACCGTTAAATTTTAAACTGATAATAAAACGGTTATAATATATTAACCGACTAGTGTCAGATGAAAAACTGAGTTTAAGTACTGAAA